TCTTCACCTCCAGGGCTACCACGTCCAGCCGCGCGACGGCACCCACTTTGTGCGCCTGTTTGCCGACGCCCAGTTCTACAGCTTGCCCAAGCTCATCTCCCAGCTCTTTGACGAGTCCATCTTCATATCCATCGGCCACCGCGAGTTCCAGATCCCGCGCGAGCTCTTCAACGACCCGGGCAACTCTCCCAACTTCTTCACCCTCGGCTTCGCCGTCTTCTTTTCCAATCCGAAAGACCTCTTCCCTGGCCTCGAGCGCGAGCATCTCATCCGGCCCCCCTCGATCCTGCCGCCTTCGGTGCCCAATCGCTCGGCCGACATCTTCGCAGACCTCGTCCACTTCCTCAGCGGCTATCCTGTCCACATCCGCAACGAGACGCATCGCGCCGACCTCCTCCGCGACTGCCGCTACTTCAACTTCAAGGGCCTCGAGCAACGCCTCATCCCCCATACCCTGTCGTACAACCAGACACGCGCGCGCCACGAGATCCTCCTGCGCCTCGAGGACATACTCAAGAGCGGCATCTCCATCACCAACGACCAGGACCCCGAGGACCCTGTCTCGGGCCGCGTCACCTACGCCCGCCCCTTCACCGACCCCCACCCAGCCGACCTCGTCCTCGAGATTGCCGCCGACGAGGCCACCGTGCTGCACCTGACGCCCGACGGGCCCCGCGTCGAGTTCTTTCGCGATACGCGCTCGCGCGTCGCCCGCCTCTTCGAGGTCCTCGCCACCAAGCTCGACCTGCCGCCGACGACCCAGCCCCTCGGCCTGCTCATGGCCACCGGCGGCCGCAGCAGCCAGCCGCCGACGCCGGGCCACACGCCGCTGTCCGACGACCTCGTGCGCGTCGCCTTTGAGGACGACGCCGACGTCACCCTCAACGGCAAGGAGCACAGCCTGCCGCTGTCGGCCGAGGCACACCCGTCGCCTCCCTCGCCCGTGGACGCCGCCACCGAGGACGTCGCTGGCCCGCGCAAGCGACGCCGCGTCGACAGCAATGGGACAGCCGCCGCCGCCGCCGTGGACGAGCAGTGGGTCATCTCGGCGGGCCACTGGCGGCTGCGCATCCGCGGCGCGCAGGGCGGCAAGAGCAGCGTCGAGGCCGTGCTCGTGCCGGTCAAGCTGGAGGCGTATAGCAGTGAGAGGTCGCGGAATGCCAAGAGGGGTTTCCTCCGGCGGTGAGGGGGGCCTTTTGCCCTTCGGACCCCCCACCCCGCTCCCACAGTCGGGCGACCCCTTGGGTCAATGTGAGGTGTACC